GCGATCTCCAGCTGCGGCTCGATGGACTCAATCCATGTGATCAAGTCGTGGCGACCTTCGAGCAGCTTCGGCACGGCAATCTTGTCCGGCGAAAACTTGAAATATCAGTACGTCGGCGCGATGCCTCCGTCCCGACCGGCCGACACGTGAGTTGCCGAAGTCGGTCTGACTCCACTCCGCAGGGGAGATTGACTTCGGCCATTGGCGTTGCCGTTCGAGCTTCCCGCTACCGCCGAGCGCAGAACTCGCGCCTGCATTCCGCCGACACCGACGTCGGCGACCCGAATCACTCCACGAAGCCTCGTGCTGCCTTCGCTGCCGACTTGGTCACCGCTGTCAACCTGGTCGTCGACGCCGCCTTCGTTGCGTGCCGGTCGGGGAGTGGCGGGCAGTCCATCCGCCTCAGTACGGGTCGTTGGGTGCTCGCGCGCCCACTGCACGCGGGTTCCAAAGAGCATAACCTCCAAGGTTGCTCCGCCGTACTCGCCAGCTGCGTGGCGTGCCCGAACGTCTTCTAACCGCGCCTGCAGGGTATCCTCTACGCCTGCAGCGACCTCCTCCTGGTCGACCATGGCGGTCTAGACCGTTGCCGGCCTACAACAACTTTGGTACGCAAGAGTCGGCTAATCTGAAGGTTCTAACGCGGGGCCGTCCACGCTCACCGCACCATGCGGAGAGTCACTACACAACGGGAGTGGACTACGGAGGAGGGCACGGGGTTGTGCGAGTGACCGCAGCGCTCTGCTAGCGTTCTTACTGCTTGCTATGTTCACTGAGAAGTTTGGCAAGAATTCCACTAAGGAAAGAACAACTTGCAATAACAAAGTTGATAGGAAAAGAATAGAGTACAATTGAGGCATGCAGAACAAAAGACTAGAATGGCATGCACCACCTAGCAAGGGCGACTCTGCCAGCGCAGCAGAAGAGCGGCTTGCCAACGCTGCAGCAGAGGAGTCTGCCAGCGTTGCACTGCGCGCGGTCTGCCAGCACTGCAGTCGCAGGTGACTATCTGCAATCGCAGGTAACTTTCTACGGTCGCAGGTTGTCTATCTGCGCAAATGGGCGCACCTACCAAGTAGGTGCAGGTTGGCGGTTTCACCGTCAGGCACATTGCGCAGGTGCCAGGTAGAAAACGTGTCGTCGGTTTCGCCAGGTGCGCACCGTCGACCACGTGATGCCGTTTCGCATGTAGAACTTCGCCAAAATCTCCTGGGCGAATGTTCGCACGCCTTCGCAGAGTTTCGCGCAACTCTGCAACTTCGGTCGATCAGCTCGACTCTGCACGGTCGAACAGCGTTCGCCTCGCAGAGCTTCTCGACCAGAACTCTTCGACCAGAGTTCTTCGACCAGCGCTCTTCGATAGGAGACCGTCGCGCAGAGACCATCGACCCGAGCTCATCGCGCAGAGCTCGTCTACCAGATTCCGTCGAGCAGAGCCTGCTCGACCGCAACTTCCGCCGAACTGCAGAAGCCCATTTCGTCGACCGCTCCGTCGCGAACTTCCCGTCTACAGCGAGATCAGCTACGCTCAAGCGAGGGCGGGGCCATTTCCTTCGACACTCTCCTCATTTGCCTAGCACCTCTTTCAGCACAATTCTCCCCATTTCCCTCTCTTATCCCAACCAAGCCCCGTTTATCTTGTGTCGCTCACCACGCCCCGATCAACACCCCAATTTCTAGCCCCCCAATTCTCCCAGTTCTCTTACAAATTAAGGTGCTCATAATTCTACCTTGATTTTGACAAGGTGGAAAAACATTTACTCTAACAGACGGGGTAACCTCATCAAGGCACCCTGATTAGTAAGGGTGGCCCAAAACCATTAATAGGCCCTGCTCGACCTCCTACCTTCATTTTCGACATGAGTGCGCGTATGCGCAATAGGTACCAGCAGCTCGACAATGACAAGTCCTTTTCGTCCGGCGTTGGCAAGCCGCCCTAGTGCAACACTGGCAAATTGTTGACTTGCAGTGATGGCAAGCCGCCTCCCAGCTGCGTTGGCACACGTCGACTTGTTACGCTGTGTTAAGATGACAAGTTAGTTAGGAGCTACGGAGTTGGAGCTAAGAGATGGTATTGAGAGGATTTTGGCCAAAAGAGGCTTAGGACTACAGAGAGGAACGAAGAAGTACAAACAAAGAACAACAAGAGAGGGTGCACAACCAAGTATGCTACTACATTACACTTTTGCAGCAAGCAAACTACTTAACACACCCCCTTAACCTGCTAGCAGTAGGAACTAGTGCAGGAACACACCCCCTTACACCAAGGAGAAGGAAGTGAGGAGAGAGAGAGGAGGCAAGGAGGTGGGGGGGCGCGGCTGAAGCTGCTAGCACACTGGCAACTGCGCAACTGGCTCACGTGCTGGACTTGTACGGACTTGTACGCCTAAAGCATCCCGCTCATGTGACTATTGCAACTGACCCGCGGGCGACAGGAGCAACGAGTTCGCTGGCGACTGGCGTTGCTAGCTTCACGGCACCCTCCACCCCCCAACATGTCCAGCCTCCCTCCCACAACGGCGAAGACTGCTGAAGGAGCAAATATATGGAGGAGGCGGTGGCTGGAAAATGGAGAGGATGGAGGGGACTGGAGGAGAGGTGAGGCGACTGCAGGAGAGGAGGGAGGACTGAAGGAGATGAGAGGCGGCTGGAGGAGAGGAGAGGAGAGGCGGCTGGAGGAGGGGATGGATGCAGCCATTGGTGCTGCCGGCTGTCTCCCGCCCCTCGCTCACCCTCCCCCCCAGCAGCACGCGCTGCAGTGTGTGAAAGAGATGAAGATAGGCAGCGTGTGACGAATTGCTGGTCACCCCTGCCACCCCCTCATCGCCTCCCCCCCTCCTCCCCCCATGGCGGAAGCCGCGGAAGGGAGGGGGGTGGGGTGGGTGCGCCGTACGCGGCTGCGCGCGACATTGCGCGGCTGCGCGCAGCCGTACCAAGCTGCCCGCGGCTGTGCACTGGTTGGCCGCTGACACGCTCGTGACAGGCTATGAGTACGACGGGCGTGCTATGAGCAAAGCGCGACGTGAGCGTGACAGGGCGCGCCATGACAGGAAGTACCCGTGGGCCCATATAAAATCTGGCCTATGGTTAGGCCTGCTCCGAAACTATGCTAAGATGGCAACCTAGTTAGGACCTAGGGCGTTGGAGCAAGGAGATGGTATCGAGAGGGTTTTGGCCAAAAGAGGCTTTGGACTATGGAGAGGAACAAACAGGTCAAGCAAAGAACAACAAGAGAGGGTGCACCACCAAGAATGTTACGACATTATACCTATGGGGCAAGCAGGGTATATATAATTATAACTTTTTACAAGTTGGCATGCCGCATCTGTGCTGCACTGGAGGTTGACCTACCTGGATGCTACGATGCGATGACTAAGATATAGACACTTCTTGCCATAGTCGTTCATCCTTGTGTATTCTCGTTCTCATAGTGTAACTCTTGCCAATTTGCCCGTGAACGTAGAAGTGCTAGAGAACATGAGGAAGCTATGACCACTCATACCATCCATACATTCACTTGACACTTCAGTTATGGATACTCATGAATCATCGCGTGCGACTTACGACGACTAGATGCCACATCAAATTTCTCCTGCAATGGATGGATCCAACCAGTGAAGACAACACATGGTATGGATGCTATAACACCTTATTCCTTCATGGTCCATTCCGTACGTGTAAAACTCCAATTGTTGAGAAGAACAGGGTCGGTCTGACAACCTCGCCTCATGAACATACTTCGCATTCGCCTTCAGGTTTGACAACCCTGAACCAGCATCAACCTCTGCGATCCCAAAGAACCTCGCTAGCTAGCCTTTCGTTATGTCTATGCTAGACTTCATTATTTAGGTTGTAGTTGTAATCACTTCTTTGTTGTTGACTTCCACGCACTCTCTTGTTTGACAAACCATAGCAGTGTCGAGGCGAGTGTAGCAAGGTGGCAATAGGATACTATCGGGTGTACACTGGTGGGAATAGTCTTGTATGGCGTATGGCGTGTTATGCTAAGTTGTTTCCTTACAACAGATCTCTACAAACCTGTTACGGGTCTCCGTCCCGCAAGATTTGTTCGCAGGCCGCCTTCTCACGATGCCAGCAACCTGACCTTCAATGTCAGACATATGCACCTCGCACATAGTCGCACGATCAAGCATTGGTTCCCTGGCCACGGTCAACGAGCCACATTTGACGTTTGAAGTACAGTTCGCCTTGTACTCTGCCCAATTTGTGTCGGCTCGCCGGCAAGTGATGGCGCAACAACGTTCCCGCTAGGCACACGCTCCCACGTTCTGAACTGTTCCCAGTGCAAACCTCCAACGGACTCTGCCCATAAAGTTTGATAACCATCGCAGGCGTCGCCAACCACAATCGCACACCCACTGACGGCTGGCGGGAATATGACTTTCAAAACTACGCGCTGCGCGTCTCAGCCCAACGCTCTGGCGCGGTTCGGCAAAGCGGCTCACCAAATGGGGACACTCACCTCCATGATTTTTTTTCATGTGGCCCGGGACTGAAAACGGACAGGTGACCGCCGCGAAAAAAACATGAAGTCGCCTCGCCTCGGCACGCGTCGGTTGCGCTTGGCACCTCCAACATCCAGTCGCGTGTTGGAGTGCGATCATCCAACGGCTTGTGGTGTGGAGTTTGGCGCCAGCAAACTCTGACTCGATCACTTATAGCTGATCATAATTTTTTCACGCACGGCAAGTAGAGCAGCAGAAGCAAGACCATCACCCTGAATCAGGTCGCCCTTCATTTCAATACCACCGCCCCGTCAAATTTCATCGTCCTGATCTTCATTGCTTCTCTAGGGGACTTGGCTTCAGTAGACGCTTGTTCCAACTGAACAGACCTGTAGGTTTGAAAGGGTCTCAGGCTACTAAACAGCAGCCATGGCTGCGGTGTGCGTGTTCCTAGCCCTCGTGACGTCTCTGACGGTTGTCTCAGCGCAGGCGCCAACCGCGCCAACCGTGGTCGCGCCACAAACGGCAGATGGAATGAGTACGCTCACTTACAGCCCTTATACTCTCACGCTCCTATTTCTTCCCGGCTGATCTCACTTCTGTTGCCCGACACCCGGCTTACCAAGCCCACCATCACTTTCTTCCGCGTAAACTCACAATCACAAATAAGCTCGTCGACACCCAGTGCCTCCGGCACTTAGCCTCCATTCCCCTCTCACCGTCCGTACCCTTTCTTCCGCATCCCGTTTCCTCCCCCCGACAGGCAAGGTTCTTTTCCCGAACTTCAAGGACATCACCATGGTGACTCTCTTCGGCAGCGCGCAGCAGAACAAGGCGGCTGGCACCATCCGCCTCACTAGCCAGCCGCACTCCGCGGGCGGCGTGATCCTGCGCACGCCTCTCCTCCTCCTGGACAAAAAATTCGCCAATTCGACGACCTGCAAGCCGCTTGCTTGGCGCTCCGTCTTTCAGTTCAAGTCGTCCGGCAACGCTGACGGCTTGGCGTTTGTTATCTGGTCCAAGCTGCGGAACCTCGGCTCGCCGGACGGTTACCTCGGGTACGGCGGGCCGGCGGTTCGTTATAAGAAGTCTCGCAGCATGGCTATAGAGCTGGACATGGCAAAGAACACGTGGGATCCTAGCGCGACGCACGTGGGAATCAACACCCGCGGCAGCATGAAATCCCTCGCGTGGAGGGTGCTTCGCGCGCCTTTGAACGATTCTATCCCGCGACGCGTGTGGATCGAATACGACGGGCAGTCGCTGAGCGTATCGGTGGGCAAGGGCTCGAGGAAGCCCAAGGCACCGCTGCTGCGCTACGCGATTAACACGTGCAACGCGCTGAAGCAGCCTGGGTACTACGTCGGCATCACCGCGTCCAATGCGGACGGCCAGTCCTCGCAAGAAATCCTCGCCTGGAGCTTCTCCGCTTCCCGTAAGTGCATTATAAACACAGGAACTAATATATGCTTTCAAAAATGACATCCCGGTTTGTCAACCCGTTCCGTACGTCGCACGTTTACGACCCGTTCCGTCAGTCTGTACAACCCGTACCTATCCGGACTCGTCTAGCGCGCGTTCGTTACCGCAACCTAATCCGTTCCTCGTCTTCCTCTCCCCCCTCCTACCGCCCCACCCCGTAGCCTCGACGTCGCTGTGCCCCATGTGCGGGAGCGTGACAAACCCCAAGAAGAAGATCAGCTGCTGCATGCCGTTCCAGTGCTGCAACGGCGTGTGCCTCGCGCCCACGGAGCTTTGCGCCGGCACCACCTGCTGCGGATCGGTAAGCCAACCAGCCTGCTGTAACCCCGTTCTCCGTCAATCCCTGCTGTTGGGAAACCCCCGATGTTGTATATATGGGCGTCATTATTTTGGTTTGTCGTGTGGGGTTTCATTTTTGCCCTAATCGTGCATTGCTTCAGTTCTTTATTTCGGGTTTTTCTTTTCTCTGTTGAATTGCAGCCCGATAGCGGTCGCGTGTGCTGGGGCGTGAAGTGCTGCAGTGTAACCAGTCTGTGTATGACGAAGCAGAAGCAGCCTGTCTGCTGTCCGCAAATCGGAAACAGCACGTGCTGCATGTAAGGCGGATGCCGAGTTGAAACGGCTCGATGCACAGTACACAATACACCCTACACTTCGACAGGCTAAACATACTCGCTAAGAGATGGACAGCAGAATAGGGATACAGCACCAGTAGCAGCAACAACTAGCAGCTGCTGTCCCACCAAGCCTAAACATAATCTACACAGATTAGTTAAATCTTGACAGCTGGTTTTAACCGTAGTTTAATCAGTGTCTTCCACCTTTTGTCCAAATAAATACACCTATAGTGATACCATACGTTATCCACTCTTGTACCGGTATAATCCTACAAAGCTAGACCAAAGTTTCCTCCGGGCCTTGTGTGCGGCCCTCTTCGTTGCTGGGTGTTTTACCCTGCAAAACGGGTTGTCTGGCCAACCCGCCCATCCACACCACACATCAGGGGCTGACATTTGTGCTTGCCGGCACAAATGGTACTTTTCTCTTACTAATATCAGCTAACACTGGAAGGGACTTGGCCATAAAAGCATGTCTCCAGTGCGAAACACCTCTACCATCTCAAAGAATAGCCAATAAGTGCTCTACTCACAGCTCATTGACAGCCCCAGTGGTGAACCACAAAGACTGGAATTTTGAAGATTGTCCAGTTACCGTTACCAGCCCTGTCACTAACGCAACGTTGTGAACGGTCTACCCTGACGGGTGACGGGTTGGGGAAACCTTGATATGAAAGAGTGGCTCACAATGAAAAGAGAGGCCTGCTTGTGTCCCCCACATGCAATATTTGCTAACGCATGGTACCGTATATTTGCCAGATGTTCCGTATATTTTGTTATGAATGAACTTGCAGAGTGCGCAGTAAAACGAATATCGAGAATGAATGACTACTGAATGACGATACAATGAAAGTGACGCGAATTTATAAGGTGTCAGCAGTGGCAAAGACCAAGTCGTCGACGTACACGAGGATGTAGAACGGCGGCAGTGAGGTGTCTGTGCGTAGAAACAGTGACGGGTCAGCAGTAGAGGGAGCGAACCCAAGAGCCGCAAGTGTCGTCCTCAGTGTGTCGTGCCACTCACGCGGTGCCTGGCGGAGACCGTAGACCGGCCGCCGAAGTCTCCACTGGGTACCAGTGTGGGGGAACCTCGTCGACGTAGGTGCGTGTGGACTTCCAGGAAGCCATCTCTGCGTCCATGGCTGTCTGCCACTGAGAGGAGTAGGGACCCGCCATCGCCTCAGCGTAAGTGCGCGGGGTCGGGATGTCTGGTGCATCCGGGTCTCCCTCAGGGGCAACTAGCATGGACACGAGGTGGGGTAAAGCAGCAGCAAAGCACTGGAACTCCTCCTGTCTGTCCTCAAGGACGTCCGTGCCAAGAGCACACTCACCCCCGACGGACGGAGGACAGACAGACTCAGACTCAGACTCAGCAACGAGGCTAGTGGCGTAGTCTAGACGACAGGCAGCAGCAAAGTCAACTAACTCAGCGACCAGAGAAGACGCAGCGGTGGACTCAAAGGTAGGGTCAGTGACAACAGTAGCGAGGAGACGGGTGACAGTGGGACTGGTAGCACGACGGGAGTCAGACTCCGGATCAGGAAGAGTAGGCAGAGAGGACGCAGGAGGAGACGGCAGCGGAACACGCTGAGGAGCAGTGGAGGGACGCAGAGTCATGTAGTGAGTGCCAGGGACAGGAGGAGGACGCTCACATGGGACACGACGACCAGTGCGAGCAGGACGAACAGGCGACGCAGGACGAGACTCAGGCTCACGACGCTCGGTAAGACCTCCTGTGGGACCAGTGTAAGGAGAGGGACCAGGGAGAAGCGAGGCAGGCGGGAACTGTGACTGCGACTGGACAGGCGGAGGACACTCGACGGAGGGAGGAGGACAAGGAGGAGGAGCCTGACCAAGAACCTGCTGAAGAAGCGGGACGAAGTACGGTCGCGGTCGCGGCCGCGCAGCGTCTCCAGAACCAGCAGAGACACCAGCAGCAGGGTCCTCAGCACCAGCAGCAGCTCCAACGTCCGGGTCCTCAGCACCAGTAGCAGCTCCACCGTCCGGGTCCTCAGCTCCAGTAGTAGCTCCAACGCCCGGGTCCGCAGCACCAGCAGCAGCGCCACCGCTCGGGTCCGCAGCACCAGCAGGAACTCCACCAGTCGGGTCCTCAGCTCCAGCAGCAGCTCCACCGCTCGGGTCCCCAGCTCCAGCAGCAGCTCCACCGTCCGGGTCCTCAGCTCCAGCAGTAGCTCCAACGCCCGGGTCCTCAGCACCAGCAGCAGCGCCACCACCCGGGTCCTCAGCTCCAGCAGCAGCGCCACTCCGAAGACTGCAGCGCCGCGTGTACCACTCTCGGATCTGCTGAATGGGGGGGAGCTCCTGGGCAGGAGGGGAAGTACCGGAACGAGCTCCAGTAGCACCTCTCCGGAGGCGGCAGTACTGTAGGTACCTCTCCTGCAGCTGCTGGGAGGAGAGGGCTCCTCCAGGTGTAGCACGCTCAGGCTCAGCACCTCCAGACACAGCACCCCCAGACGCAGCACCCCCAGGCTCAGCACCTCCAGACTCCGCACCTCCAGGCTCAGCACCCCCAGACGCAGCACCTCCAGGCTCAGCACCCCCAGACTCCGCACCCCCAGGCTCAGCACCTCCAGGCTCCGCACCCCCAGGCTCCGCACCCCCAGGCTCCGCACCCTCAGACTCCTCACGGTCAGGCTCAGCACCCCCAGCAGGACGAGAGTCAACAGCTACCTCAGCAGGCTCAACCGGGTCTACCTGGGACACACCTGAGGGAGCGGCACCCTGAGGGGGGAGGGGGTCTGGGACCTCAGCACCTGGAGCGAGGAAGAGAGGCGGGGGGGGGAGCGGGGCAGTGCGGTAGGGGAAGAGGTGGTAGTAGGGGACAGACTCGTCAAAAGTGACGTCCTGAGAGGCAAGGACCCGACGCGAGGTGGCGTGGTAGAACTGCCAACCAGGCGCGTCCGGGACAAAGCCAAGGAAAACACAGGGGACAGCTCGACGGGAGAGCTTGTCCGCGGACGTGTTGCGGACAAAAGCTCGGGATCCCCAGACCCGAAAACGCGACGCATCGCCAGCCTCTCCCGTCCAACGCAGTGTCGGAGAAGTCTTCGGTAAGGAGACACGGGGCCAGAGGTTGAGCTGATGCGCAGCGTATCGGACTGCAAACGGCCACAGAAAGTGGGGGGCAGCCGCATGAACCAAGGAGGTACGAGCGACCTCCATGACCAAGCCAATGCGGCGCTCAGCAACCCCATTCTGCTGTGGAGAGGCCGGAAGCGTGAACGACTGCTCAATGCCCTCCTGCTGACAGAAGGCCTCCAAGAGGCCAGAGGAAAACTCCCCACCTCTGTCAGAGTGCAGACGCAGGACAGGGAAGTCGGAGCGGAAACGCTCACTGAGCTGGAGACGAGATCTGCGGATCCAAGGGATCAAGACATCAGGGACGTCACCCTTGGCACGCAAGGGGAAGACCGTGGTGTAGCGCGAGAAGTCATCAACAACAATCAGGAAGTACCTCTCCTGACCCTGACCACGGACGCGGGCTGGGCCCCACACGTCCATGTGGAGCGTCTGCAAAGGAGCAGTCGTCGGGGGGAAGGAGGAGGAGTGAGGAGCGGCGCGCTGCCGCCCCTCGACACAGGGAAGACAGGGAGGAGCAGGCGAGGGTGGCAGGGGAGGGAGAACCCTGGGAAGACCAGCAACAAGGTCCCGTTTGTGCATGGCCCGAAGGCGCTGCACAGACGGGTGACCAAGGCGGTGGTGCCAGAGGACAGTCTCATGCGCCAGAGAGCGACACGAGCAGGGGGCGGACAGCTGACCTGACGCAGACGCAGACGCGGACGCAGCTACCTGAGGGGACTCAGTGGTCAGTGTGTACAGGTCCGACCCCGGCTGCCGAGTGAAGGTAGCCAGGTGACGGCCCGTCCGAGCACACGTGCAGTGGGTCACGCGCTCGTAAGCAGGGGTGAACTGGTGGACACCCCCGTCCTGGAGCGCACTACCTGCCACCAAGTTCGTAGAGAACGAGGGGAGGTAGAGACCTGACAGCGTGCCTGACGGGACCGCAGGACAAGGAAGGACAGTGGAGGAGGTCGCAACGACCGGACCCCCAGAGGGGTCAGCGAGGGAGACAGCAACTGGCCGAGCGAGTGGCTCAAGGACAGTGCGGTCACGAAAGAAACAGCGAGAAGCACCTGAGTCCAGTGTGAAGGTGTGCAGTGCTGCAGTCGACTCAGTACCAGCGGGCACGGACGCACTAGCACCTAGAGCAGCAGCCTCACCAGGACCTGGGGCAGCAGACGCACTAGCACCTAGAGCGGCAGCCGGACTAGTCTGAATGCCCGGGTCGGGCGGAACACGCAAGTACTGAGCACCCTCTCCACTAGTAAACATCGCATACATGGCAGTGAGAATAGCATCAAAGTCTAAAGCCCAGATATCAACACCCTTCTTTTCCAGATCAGCCCAGTGAGGCAGGTCAGTGGCATCAGGAAACTGGGCACGCCACGCGTCAGTAAGGCGTGCGAAACAGCGCTGTGTGGGATGCGGCCTCCCACACTGCTGGCCAGTGCGGTCACCAGTGCGAATGACGTAAGTGCACGTAAAGCCACGCTGCGCATACCACTCACGAGCGGCCTGAAGCGACGGGGCGGGCTGCTGACTCTGGCCACCGCCAGCGCCTCCACGACCACCACTGCCGCCGCCACCGCCTCGGCCACCTCCACCCCTGCCGCTGCCACGACCACCTCCGCCTCCACTGCCGCCTCCACCCCTGCCGCCACTCCCGCCGCTGCTGTCACCACCCCCACTGCCGCCAGTAGGCTCCCCAGCCGCTCCTCCACTCCCACCGCCTCCACCCCCACCTCCTCCGCCGCCACCTCCAACCTTGCCCCCTTTGCCCCTGCGGCGCCCGCTCGGAGCAGACGCGGCCCCGACCTTCTCAGCACCAAGGAGGTCGACAGTAGCAGCAGAGGCGACAGAGGGGAGGAGAGGGGAAGGGGAACACCCCTCAAAGAACGGGGT